CCAATATGATCCATTAAAGATCGCAGTCGGTGAAAATCACCCGGAAATGTCCAATCGGATGTGTGCCATCATGTATCAGAACCATGTCATGTTGACAGATAAACTCCTACAACAAAAAATTTTTAAAAATTCTTAAATTACCATATTAGTAAAAAACGCACTAACTTAAACTTTAAAAAAAAATCAACCTTAGCGTTGCTACTGCACGCTCCTCAAATTTGTATCCGTTATCAATAACACATTTCAAAAAACATATTTCGATTCGCATTATATTTTTTCGTCTCGAATACTTCCTGAATTTTATCAAAAACAAAATAATTTCTATGCCTGATGATGACTGGACGAACCGTCGAAAGTACTTGCGTATTTAAGGAAGATCTAATACAGTTTATAATTTAGAAAAAAAAAATAAAAGAACATAACATTCATCGAGTGGGTAGTGGGTTAATGCATCTTTAAAATTTGGTTAGCGAAGGGATTTCACCATTTTATAGCATTAACTTTACTAATTTACCTTTTGTATGAATGATTCGTTGTAATATAAATTAAACTGCACCATATATATATATATATATATATATATATATATATATATATATATTAAGAATTTGTTAAAATTTGCTAAATTTATAGGGTAAACATTTTCAATGTTAGAGAGAGAGAGAGCATTTAGAGATATTGGCCACTTGAAAATCAACACTGACAGCCACTTTACAGTGTCGGTTACAGTGATTTTGAAACCGGGGCATGCTGTCCATGATGCCCATTAATGGTTACGATAGAAATTTGAGAATATAATAAAATCAATAAGTAGCTTGCATGTTTAAAACTTCTTAATTTGTAAATTAATCCAATTCCGATAAAACCAGCTATTAGTTGAACTAATCAACAACTATTACAATGCCAAAAAAAGCCCATGGTTTAATGAGCAAGAAGCTTTCAACTGACATATTTATCTATTTTCAACTCAATATTACTCCTGGTCAATGTCCATAACTTCACGATTCAGTCTAATAGAACGATCACAGTGAAATAAAAATTAAGCCATGTCAGGCTACAGAACTCTGACTACTGATGCCAACAAAGTACAGATAAAACGGTGTTCATCAGAAAACAACACTGACAAATAGTTAAACTCTAAAATTTAGAGTTTAACTACATGACATTGTTGTCATCTCAAACAGTTATGGTCTTAATCTGCCCATGGAAGATGGCCATCATCGAACAGTCGTCAGGAATTGGGTCATTCAACTGTTGGCTTTTAACCTAAATTTTAATGAAAATCTTAATGCTAACAATTCAAGGAAACACATCTACACAGAAATGTCGGAAGCTTACAACACCCATCCATATACATTTCATATTGCCTCGAGTAAAATGACCGCTTGGATTGATCTGCATGGACATTCCGTGTATGGAGTGAATATAATGCCAGGAGAATTGATTGTTTGAGGTAATTTATATGTAAGTGTATACTGGAATCCTTTTTGGAATTTTTGCCCGAGCATTCTGTGTTATTTACATCGTCAGTGGGTGGTCGGGTGGAATGGATATTCGTTCTCTGCGATTGCCAAAAGTGTTTCCCCAAGGGAATTCTCTGATAACGGCAAATGGGTCGTTATTTAACCATCTCATCAGTTCCCAAACATGTGCAACCCATCTGACTTTAGGAATCAAGGCGAAGAAAATCCGATATTTTCCCGTTTTATATATATATATATATATATATATATATATATATAGAGAGAGAGAGAGAGAGAGAGAGAGAGAGAGATGGTAAATGTGTAAGAGAATATATATGATAATATATATATATACAGTAAATTTGGTAATATATATGGTAAATATATAAGTGAATTTGGAAAATGTCTACTATGAGATGTTTTCCTATGACCCGGTTTCATCAGGAAGTTTTTTTATAAGGTATTATTGACTAATTCAGCTTATCAACCCTTTGCAGGCTATTTACAGCCAGAAAATATTTTTAGATTCTAAGAATTTTTTTTGAAGAGCTAATAACTATTTAATGCTACAAGTCTTACTAATTAACCACTACCTGTGGGGAGAAGAGGCGGATTCATACATTTCTCAAGGGTATTTGCGCTTAAATGTATGTACCGAAAACAAAGGGAATTAAAACTTGTCTCTTCGATTAACGATTCCCAGTCATTATATCACCTTCATATCCCAGCTAGCAACACATGGTATTCCCCACAAGCAGTTACCCATCTAGTGACTGACCATGTTCAACGTTGCTTAACTTTGGTGATCGTACGAGAACTGCTGGTTCAACATGGTGTCGCCGTAAGCCAACGATCCTTCATTTAATCTAATTGATTGAAAGACTGATTTTTATATTAACAGTATCGTTATAGAAATTATATTTTAATTAATTTCAACTCAATTTTATTATATATATATATATATATATATATATATATATATATATATATATATATATATATATATATATATATATATATATATATATATATATAATTGTTGTTGTTATTGCTATTGTTGTTTTAATTGTGTGTATGTGTGTGTGTATGTGCGCGCACGCCCGTATGTGGGTGAGTGTGTCTTAGATACTATAAATTAGACTCTTTGTGAGCATAAACAGTGATTTTATAACACCACTTCTAGTTGTTAAACCAGCGTCTCTATAAATTAGAATTTATGTTTCTTATTTACAATCTTATTTTCTGTCTTAAATGTTGATTTGGGCCGAACTTCAAATTCAAAACCAACTACTCATTCAAACATTTTAACGTGTTTATTTACATATTTATGTTCCTATATAAGGTTCTTAGTTCATTTTACTATTATTTTCTTATTTTATTTTAAATAATTTTCTTTCTATTCATATGTATTATTATTAGTAGTAGTAATATTATTAGTAGTAGTCTTAGTAGTAGTATTTTATATTATTTTATTTTATCATAGCATACTTTGTTCTTGATATCATTAGTTTTAGTTAGTTTAGTAATATTATTATCAATTACTCTCTTCATTTTTGGAAGAAAATAGAGTTGCCCCCCTTGATATTCCAACTCCTTCTTTGGTTTACTTACGTTTTCAAAAGCAGCGTCTCTCTATTTTAGAATTTCTATTCTTATTTCCAAACTTATATTCAATGTTAAATGTTAATCTGAGCTTAAATTCAAATTCAAATTTAAAATATAATTCATTTAAATATTTTAATTCCAATAATATTCCATCCCCAACAATAATATATCTCGTGTGAAACAGAAAATTAAAAAAAACAAAAACGGTATCAACCCAAAATATAAATAAAAATAAATATAATAATTTCAGCACTTGAAAATTTCTCCGGCATGAAACTCGGAGTTGTGCAATCAATGCAAGGTATTATGTATATTTCTTAATATCTATTAAATAGCTCTGTTACTTAACAATAACCACTGTTTTATCATACACTATAGCGTATATATATATATATATATATATATATATATATATATACCTTACACCTCTATAACTTTTTATTTGACATAGTTAAAAGATAAAATTGACTGTAGAAAACCGACAGACGCTATCAAATTGATGTCAACAATTGAAGGAGACAGCCACAAAATACCGAACGAAACGTTGTTTCTTGCTGTTTGCGATTCCATTGCTTTACACTGTTACTAAGTGGCTGAACAAGAAACGTCATCAGTTTGAAAACATGCGTTTACATAAAAGTTAAATCATGTCTGTAGATTGTATTAAATTTTAACAATAAAATGCATTCTAATCAAAACACACTTAATAATCATTTAAAGTATGCATAGATCTTTACGACACTATATATATATATATATATATATATATATATATATATATATATATATATATATATGCAAATTAAATAATTAAGAAATGGAAAAACGTTAAGTTTCCATGAGTATAATTTATTTCCTCAGAAAATATAAATTTTCCTGGTTCATCAGGTCAACTTTCTAGTTACAAAAGAATTAGGTTGCTTTTAAACTCACACACACACGCGCACACACCCACCAATATATATATATATATATATATATATATATATATATATATATATATATATATGTAAAGTATAAACAAAGAATTTATTGAAATTCGGAAAATAATTTATATACATTTTCTGTATATCTGAACGTATACTATCACTTCATTCCGTTATCTCCGTCTTCTAGTTTCTCTCTCTCTCTCTCACACACGCACACACATACACACACACACACATATATATATATATATATATATTTCTGTAAATACATATACAAAGAGATGCCTGAAAGAAGCCCTTTCTCAAATGTTAGAGATGTTTGAAAAGTTGTTATATTTTGAAAATGGGTGTAGTTGAAAATCTTTTGGAAACTTTCGTCTGTATATTTACATCTGTATATTCTTATGCATCTATCTATCTATCTCTCTCTCTCTCTCTCTCTCTCTCTCTCTCTCTATATATATATATATATATATATATATATATATATATATGTGTGTGTGTGCGAGAGTGTGTGGCTGCGTGTGCGGGTGTGTAGTTGTATGTGCGTGTGTCTATTTATGATTTAGACTATGTATTTTTTGAATTTTAATTAGATGTGCGTGTATATTTTTCTGTTAATATGTATGTTTGCTTATACAACGCGCACATGTATATACATTCATATATATATATATATATATATATATATATATATATATATATATATATATATACATTCAACCAACAAGGTTTGTTTGTTTATTTTTATTGTATTTTCCAATAATACACATACGTACATGCATATTATATATATATATATATATATATATATATAACTTTGTGAGGAGTACATGCTTGGCAATGGTTCTAGGCTTTCACTTGATATGTAATTCAAATCTCAGATGGTTCGTGTAATGAACGCTTAACAAGAATAACCGCTTCATGTGGTGGGGATTTCAATCATAGCCAGACATTGGAAGCAATGTTTTTATCAAAGAATTCACGATCCCTTTATTTCCAGTTCCCGCTTCTGAAAGATCTTCCTTCTGTTCGTTCTTTTTCTCCTCCCCGTCCCACACTCTTAAATTGTTAGCTTCAAACTTGATACGGACAAACGGACGAAATCCCCGATCGCAAATCTTACAAGTAAATTTAAGTACTGCCATTTTGTATATTCGTTCCATTATTCATTATGAGTATGCGCACATCTATCTCACCATTACGAATGAAGATGTTTTATCTACGATCAATGCCGATGAAAAAATATGGTGGGGACTGATTGAAAACGGTAAGGCCTTTGTTAATTCTTTCCGATTTCGAAGCAGGCCCTTGATACCCGTTCCGGTCATGTTTATTTCCCGACTTTAACATAAATCCTCATTCCTAAAAGGAAAGTTTTCGCATATGGAATTTTGGGCCAGGCGATTGGAAAGTTATCTACGAACAGTTAATAATTTTTATACTGTCACAAAACTTGTTTTGAACGAATACAGGGCAGACATAATATTGCCGACCGGCTACATAGTCTAATAAATAAATTTATATAAACGCTAGAAAGCAATTCGTAAGAATAAACACATTTCCAAAAAATGATATACAGATTTCATCTGTGTAAATCGGTGTTTTAGCGTATGCATATTTATATATATATATATATATATATATATATATATATATATATATATATATATATATATATATATATATATATTGTAAATACGTTTTAATCATATATATATATATATATATATTTATGATTAAAACGATAGATGGTTCACGTGTGCTTCTTATAATATGTAGATTTAATAGGCCGGGTAAAGTAATTTGAGGAATAAAAAGACAACAAAAAGGATAACAAGAAATAAGATTAATAATATTTATTATATACTGATAGGCTTTTTGACTAAATTCAAACACGAAGAGAAAGATTCTGAAGTCGGAATTTTCGGACACGCCTGCGTTCTTTTTCAACGAGACAAGACATAGCCAATAAAACCAACAACGAAAACATTCCCCGAAAGAAAAGGGTCACACTACTTTTATTTCTTGTTTTGTTGAAAAATGACACTATCATATATATATATATATATATATATATATATATATATATATATATATATATATATATATTTCTTCCTCGCAGCACAGCAAGTTTCATCCACGATGCAGCCATCCAGTGCTGATGGAAATCTAACCATTACATCGGGCATGGAACTCAGAATTGTGGTACCAGTGATGAAAAATATATTTATTATTATAAATTTAAGCTTTGTTATTATACATCGACCCCTTCGTACACACACACACAAGCACACACACACCCGCACCCCCACAACCACACACATACACACGCACATACACACACACACACACACACACATATATATATATATATATATATATATATGAAGAAAAATATACGGAAAAAACAAACAAAAATCCTAATATGCAATTATGCTGTTTTTATGTTAATATAATGTCAACGTCGGACGTTTCGGTCTAGTAGACCATCTTCAGGACATATTCATAAAACATAATTATCATTAGACTATATTTAATTCAACATGAAAAGATATATATATATATATATATATATATATATATATATATATATATATATATATATATATTAAAAAATATGATTCCAAAACGCTACATAAGAAGTCTCATGTTTCAAAACAAGAGCCGAAAACTTCAATATAATTATTTAAATTAAATTGAGTTAAAATAAGCTCTGTTCCATCCTCAAGCGAAATTTTTTTTGGAATAACGTATATCTGAAATTTACGTGTTTTAAAAAATTGAAATCAAAATTTCCAGTGTAACAGCTAGGGCGAATTGTTTATATATATATATATATATATATATATATATATATATATATATATATATATATATATATGTAATTTTAATATCCTCTTTTCCTTTTGTATTTTATATATTGTGTATGTTTTACTTTTGGTATTTCAAGGTACTTAGCACTTTCAAGGTAACTATTAGTAGTGCTGCGCGTAGATGTGTCGAGCTGAGTTCAATTTCAATTCTCGTTTTTTGTGTTTCCTTTCACACACAAATGCCCTTTAGAAAGAAATGAGTCTTACTTATCCCCATCTCTCAACTTTGAATTCACAGATAATAAACAAATAATCTGCGGAGAGCCATTATTATCTCTGTCCTGAATGGACATAGCATTTCAAATATTATATTATCTATACTAGCAGTAGAACCCGTCTTTGACCGGGTTTTTCATTACTGGGAATTTTTGCCGTTCAATTGGAACAGTTTAAGTTTGAAGTCAGCCCACCACCACCATTTGGGTGCAACTAAGGCACATCCTCAAATGGAGAGGGGGGGGGTAACAATTTCAATGGGTTTGGCCCGGAAAAGGGCTGTTTTTGTGTTCTCAATCTTGCAAGGAAGGAACCTCTTCCATGGACCGTCATAATATTCATAATACGATAATATTCATTTAAAATATAGTTTTTTTTTTTTTTTTATAGTTCTTATAATCTTTTGCGTTAGATTTTAACTCTCTGAATTGATTGTGCGCTGTTTTTTACAGACATTAAATTTTGCCTTTGATTTTTGACCAAAGTGTAAAAAAAATTCGATTTTTCACCTTCAAGGTTGTAATTTTTTCCAGCTAATTTAGACTCGAAACCGGCATTGAAGAATTATCTATCAAAACAAAACAAAAAAAAAATCATCGAAATCGGATGAAGACTGTGGAAACGCATAAACAACATCCAATCACACACACACACATACACATACATACATACATACATACATTTTGTTGAATTATAGATATAGATGACTTATCAGGATTTTTTTTTCAGTTGTTATAATAGCGGATACATATACTGAAATTAAGTTGTTTTTTATTATTTCAATATGGCGTAGATTACTGTAACACCCGTTTCGAAGTTAAATTAATCTAAAGACCACTAAAATGTTACCGTGGACGCACAATTTGCAATTTAAATTTTTTTTTTTGTGTGTGTGTGTGTGTGTATGGACATCTGGTAATGTTACATATGGACCTCGATTGAGAAACACTGAAATAGACCTTAAAACTGTTTGCAATATTCGGAATTACATGACCGTACCGACTTCATTGGTTAAAGTGTGTTTAGGATAGTCGATTGTCGATTATGACGCTGTCAAACGCAGAGTAGAAATCGACAGGAAAATCAGTAAACAACAAGGTCTCAGTAAAGCCGGGATCGTCGAAACATATTCTATATAGAGAATTTGTGACGTCACGAATCCTGAAACTCATAGGATCGTAAGGAAACACCATGTAATGCAGTTGTAGTAGCCGTGGTGTTTCTAGGGCAATGTAATTCGACGGAAATCATCCTAATTCAGGCTGGTTTTGAATTCAGAGTTTTCTTTCTCTGAGACTCGTTGTCAGCCAATCTGTCCTATTTAATCCATAGCTGGAGAAGAGGAATTCATGCCTTTTTTCCGTTAGTATCACCGCAAAGTAAACGAAACGGAATCGATCAGAATTTGAACCCGACTCGCCGATGTCACTTTCCGCGCCAATAATCGTTACACTAACCACACATTTGCATATGGAGAATTGTATTAGATTAAAACCGTATCAGTGCTCTAGAGATGTTCTCTATTAATTAAAAATTGAAAATAAAATACTTTTGATCCACCCTAATAATAATATCTTCGAGAGCTTCTTTGTCAATGGAGAGGAGGTCGTCCCAATTTTTAAAAATGAAGCAAAACAGCTACCAAACTTCTAATTGCATTCATGTCACACTAATATTAATAAATACCAACCCTGATAAAACCTCTTGAATGGAGCGTCGAATTAGACGTTTGTATAGGGGACCGTTTATCTGCATAAATAGACATGCAATTTCCTGCAAAATAACGCATTTTTCTCCCCATAGTGTCTGCTGGATATTATTGAGGTATAAAAACTCATTTGTCTATATTTCTGAGATGAGGTATTGCAATTATTTACATTGTTTGGACTGTGGACCTCATCTTTGTTGAAATATTCACGACATTTCAGTCGTTGTACGATTCAGCCTTCTTCAGATGATTAGAATTGAATTAAAAGTATTGGAACGACAAAGTATTGTTATTGTTGTTCACTGAAGACATTTGTGTTTAAGATCAAAAGATGAATATGAGACAAGAGTTCATAATTTCAGTTTTTATTTCCTGGTATTTACATTTAGATGTGTTAAACAGCTTAGGAAAATCACCTTTTACATCAAATCACCCCATTTTTAGGTGAGCAAAATTAAAGAAACAGATAGTCTTTAATATTTGGTTGCATAACCCTTGCTTGCAATAACTGCATCAAGTCTGTGACCCACTGGCATTATGAAACTGTTGTATTCTTCATTTGTGATGCTTTTTCTAGATTTTAAAGTTTTTTTTTTTTGTTTCAGGGTGTTTCTTCCTTCAGTCTCCTCTTCAGATGAAACGCATGCTTTATTGGGTTATGGTCCGCTCATTGATTTGACCAGACTATTTTTTCCCTGATGAACTCTTTTGTTGTGCTGGCAGTAGATTTTGGATCATTGTCCTGCTGCATAATAAACTTCCTCTTCGTTAGTTTGGATGCATTTTTCTGATAATTAAAAGACAAAATGTTTCTGTAGACTTCTGAATTCATTCTACCATCATCAATAAATGCGTATAAGGTTGTTCCAGAAGCAGCCATGCAAGCCCAAGTCAAGACACTGCCTCTACTATGCTTCACAGATGAATTTGTATGCTTTGGATTAGAAGCAGATCCTTTCTTTCTCCGTATTTTGGCCATTCCATCACTTTGATAGAGATTGATCTTGGTCTCATCAGTTCATAAAACTTCCAGAACTATTGTTACTCATCTCTGTACTTCTTTACAAATTCCAATCTGTTCTTCCGATTCTTCTGCTGATGGATGGTTTTCATATTGTCGTATAAGCTTTATTTCTACTCTCGAAGACTTCGAACTGTGAATTGGGAAAACTTCATACCTGCACTGTGGAAGTTGTTGGTGATGTCACTGACTGTTGTTTTGGGGGTTTTCCTCACAGCTCTCACCATATATCAGTCATTAACTGCTCTTGTTTTCCTTTTCTATGTCTGTTGCTGAGTACACCAGTAATTTGTCCAATGGCACTGATTGATTTTCCTTCTTTTATCAGCTTCAAATGGCTTGATTTATATATATATATATATATATATATATATATATATATATATATATATATATATAAAACCCTATAGCAATTATAAAACAGATCCCTAACACTGTAAATACTAGAATAAATAAAATATCCTCTAAAGAAAGTATCTTTGATCAAAATAAATCAACATACGATCAAACCCTATTAAAAAGTAGATTC